CTCCCTGGCTCAAGCAATCCTCCCAGCTCAGCCTCCCAAATAGCTGGAACTACAGGTGTGTGCCACCACGCTCAGCTAATTTTGAAATTACTATGTAGAGACAGGGTCTCACTACGTTGCCAGGGCTAGCCTCAAACACCTGGCCTCAAGCAATCCTCCTGCCATAGCCTTTCAAAATGTTGGAATTCAGGCATGAGCCACTGCACCCAGTTATTTTATCATTTAAAAAGCATTCTAGGCTGGGCGTGGTGGCTCACCCCTATAATCCCAGCACTCTGGGAGGCCAAGGCAGGCAGATCACAAGGTCAGGAGTTTGAGACCAGCCTGACTAACATGGTGAAACTGGTGCACATCTCTAATCCCAGCTACTCAGAAGGCTGAGGCAGGCGAATCACATGAACCTGGGAGGTGGAGGTTGCAGTGAGCCGAGATCACGCCACCGCACTCCAGCCTGGGTGATGGAGTGAGACTCTGTCTCAAAAAAAAAAAAAAAAGTATTCTAACAGATTTTTTTTTATTAAAAGCATCTAAACAGAAATTATTTTGTGCTGTCCTATAACCCTTAAAACTTCCATTAACAAATTTCTCCCAAAACTGTAAGAAAAATTTCAAAACTATTCACATACCACAATTCTGAGATGTAAACAACAGAATTACAGAGCTGCTCTTTCCTTCCCATGCTGTGTGATCCCTACGTGAGTAAGCAAGCACCACAAGAATCAGATGCAAGACTAGTGGAAAGCAACTAAGCTTCTTAAAACTACTCAACCGTACTTTGCCAGTGTAGCACTGACGTGTTAAATTTGTTTTCCTAATTCTTTCTTTCTTTTTTTTTTTAATGGTGTCTAGCTCTGTCGCTAGGCTGGAGTGCAGTGGCACGATCTCAGCTCACTGCAACCTCCACCTCCCAGGTTCGAGCGATTCTCCTGCCTTAGCCTCCGAAGTAGCTGGGATTACAGGCATGGGCCACCATACCTGGGTAATTTTTTATATTTTTGGTAGAGACGGGGTTTCACCATGTTGGCCAGGCTGGTCTCAAACTCCAAACCTCAAATGATCTGTCTACCTCAGCCTCCCAAAGTGCTGGCATTACAGGAGTGCACCATGGTGCCCGGCCTCTAATATTTTTATCCATCTGTGTTAGATATTGTCATGTGATCTTGGAGTGGAGAAGATGCAGAAGTTCAGAATTAAGAAATTTGAGTCAAGATGTTGGGGACAGACAACAGTCATGTTAATTTACCTGTTGCTCACAGGCAGAAAAAGGAAGAAATCAGCCAATACTTTTGTGGAAGAAAAAGAAACTCTATATTTGAATTGCAACAACAGATCACCCACTGTATTATTTTACCGCCCACAGCATGTCATGAAAAGATCAAAAAAACAACTTAAGGCCAGCATTGGTAGCTCACGCCTGCAATCTCAGCACTTTGGGCGGCCAAGGTGGTAGGACCACTTGGGGCCAGAAGTTCAAAACCAGCTTCGGCAACATAGTGAGACCCTGTCTCTACTAAATAATTATACAGTAACTCTCCCAAAGCAGGTAGTACATTTAAATTTAAATTAAATTTGAGTCCTGAATAAAGATTCCTTGTTTTCTGGTTTTATTTTTTTGAGGCAGGGTCTCACTCTGTCACCAAGCTGGAGTGCAGTAGCACAATCATGGCTTACTGCAGCCTGATACTCCTGGGCTTGAGCAATCCTGCCACCTCAGCCTCCTAAGTAGCTGGGCCCATAGGCATATGCCACCACATCCAGCTAATTTTTTACTTACTGTAGAGATAGGACCTTGTTATGTTGCCCAGGCTGGTGTCAAACTCCTGACCTCAAGCAATCCTCCCACCTTGGCCCCCCAAAGTGCTAAGATTACAAGTATGAGCCACCATGTCCAGCCTCTTTTCTGTTTTTAATGGAACCTTTTCTCCAAAGTCTTATAATGGATAATTAGCTGGCAGGATCACTTTTCCTGTCTATTTTTCTATTGGAAGTGCTAACGGGGATACATGTAATTTCTATAATTTGACCTAAAAATTATCCTTCCCTACTTGGAAGGTGCCCTTTTTCAACCAAGCTTATTGCTTCAGAAGTGGTGCAAATAAACTAGTGGGAGAGTCAGCTAATACTTATCAAGACAACCAGGTCTATCAACTGGTAATCCATAGGGTGACAGATGTCAGAAACAAGTCTTTATAGACATATCATCTATTTCTTCTTGTTAACCTTAAGAAATTAGAAGTAGGATCTTTGGCAACATATAGAATTTAAAGGATTGAAGTACAGGAGGAAGTAACAAACTGAAGTTGTTAATGACCTCATTAAATTTAAACAGTCCCCAAATAAGAATATTTTTTAAGAGCCAAACTTTAATCTCAAATGTAGTACATTTATATTAAACACCCAGAAACTTGAGAGTCATCCTAGATCCCTCTTTCTCCTTTATTCCTATGTCTTACTGATCACCACACTCCTCTCCAACCCTATCACCACTGCCCTAGTTCAGGAGCTTCTTATATTTCCCAGCAGTCTCCCCGCTGCATTCCTAGTCTCAAGAATTATTCCTTCCAATCACCTATCAGCTTACTAAAACAGTTACCTTTTCATTAAAATAAAGATGAAATAAATAAAAACAAAAGTTTTTCACTTAAAAACAAAGTGTCTCTCATGACAAAGTCAATATATATTCATAGTTAAAAGCCTAGAAAATAACAGATGAGCATGAAGAATAAGACAAAAATAATCCATAATCTCACAACCCAGAAATGCTGTTAAAAAGTAGTACAGGCCAGGTACAGTGGCTCATGCCTGTAATCCCACCATTTTGAGAGGCCAATGTGGGACAATCACTTGAGCCCAGGAATTCGAGACCAGCCTAGGCAACACAGTAAGAGCTCATCTCTACACAAAATTCAAAAATTAGTTGCGCATGTTGATGCGTGCCCATAGTCTCAGCTACTTGAGAGGCTAAAGCTATAGTGCCTAGGTGACAAAGTGGGACCTGGGCTCAAAAAAAAAAAAAAAAAAAAAAAGCGGTACATGTCCTAGAAGTCTTTTTAAAAGCATTATATGAATGTTTTTTTAAAATGTAACTGGCATTATATTTGAAGTTTTACCCCATATTTTTCACATATCATGAACAATTTCCTCACTAAGGTTTACTTGAAAATGCCTTTAATGCCTACATATATTCTATCAAATGACATATGGTAATTTATTAACAGCAGTCCCCTGGGAGCTCCTTGTCATCCCAGTTTCTAGGTCCACCTCTTCAGAGGCACCAGACTTACATTGGTTCCTCTTCGCCCCTACTAAAATAATGGTGTGGTTGACCTCTTTGTATAAAACTGCCAGCTAAACCTGTATTATCCTTAATGTCTTGAAATATATACCAAAATTGGCATTACTAATTCAAAAAATTTAAACATTTCTTAGGCTTCTGAAATATATGATCAAATTATTTTCTGTAAGTTTAAACCAATTTACACGCCCACCTGCACAGTATAAGAAATTCTGCTTCACCACAGCCCTCTTGTAGCAGTAAATTGTTGTTTAAATTACAATTAAAAAGAAAGATGGGCCGGGCGCGGTGGCTCAAGCCTGTAATCCCAGCACTTTGGGAGGCCGAGGTGGGTGGATCACGAGGTCAAGAGATCGAGACCATCCTGGTCAACATGGTGAAACCCCGTCTCTACTAAAATTACAAAAAATTAGCTGGGCATGGTGGCGTGTGCCTGTAATCCCAGCTACTCAGGAGGCTGAGGCAGGAGAATTGCCTGAACCCAGGAGGCGGAGGTTGCGGTGAGCCGAGATCGCGCCAAAGAAAGATGAAGCTCCCAGCACAGCATGGGATAGCCTCAGGGATTTTTCTGAAATTTTTTTGTTTGGTGCCCAAGATTTGTCCTTATACTACAGCACCATAACCCTTATTTAGATTTATTTATTCATACATCTATTCAAATATCTATAGACTGCCAATCTTCTTCCACGTATGGGAACAAAAAAGTGATTAAGAGCCAGGCACTGTGGCTCGAGCCTGTAGTTCCAGCTAGTTGGGAGGCTAAAATGGGAGGATCGCTTAAGCCCAGGGCTTCAAAGCTGCAATGCACTATGATTGTGCCTGGAAAACGTAGTGAGACCCTGTCTCCAAAAAGCCCCCCAAGGCAAGTGAATAAGACAGGCAAGCTCAATAAAGCTGGAAAACTAAGTTCCATTATATTCCTCCATCCAAAGCAGTGTCCTAAGTTCCATGATACTCCTCCATCCAAAGCACTGTCCTCAGAAGCTATCAAATCCACTCTCCCCCAATCATCTTTTAAATCTGGTCTAGGGACTCTCCTTAAGGAGAGGCAGCCTCTACTTGATCAACATTTAATCTGTAATAAGGGAAAGTGGAGAGATAAGAAGTGGGAGAAGGTAAACAAAGTCCAAAAAGTGAGTTCATGTTAAGGAACTTGACATTATCCTGTTGGCTAACAATTGTTTCCCATACCTAAAATGCTATCTTCGTGATTTGCCACAGTCACATAAGCCCTGAACTATTAGGCACTTAATGTTTTTCTTTAAAGGTAACATTATTTTCCTTTCCAAAGGAAACTTTTATCTCACTGTTATAAATAGAAAGCCAGTATTACTTGCCACAAATAGAAGGCAACACTAGTTGAGGAAATGTAAACTATTAAATTTAAAAATATTAAAAATGAAATACAAGTAAGACATTTCTGGAAATAGGGATAATAAATTAATCAGCACACTTGTAACCTGGTCATTGGAGCAGCCTCAAAAAAAAGGCATTTCATGTTTCCTTTTCTTCGAAACTCCTTTCTCCACATAGTAAAAACTGTCTTATCCAATCCATCAGTACCAGTGGTTGGTCATTTAATGGAAAAGAGTAGTTAAAGCAAGAAATAATTTTAAAACATTCACCTATACCTTAAAACTTTATTTCAGCTTATATAAATGTGCATTCATTTGTCAGTTTTAAAATGTAGGATCAAGGCCTTTCTTTTAAGAATCTGTTGATTGGAGTGCCCCATTAGCTTTCTTATATAAACTATACTAAAATTTATTTATTTCCTGTTTCAGTTTTCTTAAAGTGGAGCAAGAAACTGAAGACATTCAAAATAATCTAGATGATACTTCCCAAGTAATAATTGTTTTGTATACATATCTAATTTGACAGAAGTTTTTTTTCAGTGACAAGTCTCTACTCTTATTTCCAAAGCACACACAACTCACTCTTCATAAAAATAACTTTCTTTTTTGTGCTCAGATTTCATCAGTTTTCATAATGTTTAACTAAATCATCTAATTCCATTCAAGTACAACCGGCTGAGATTACCCAATTCAAATGAAAGAAGTAGAAGCATTCAGACACACTACAAAATAGCCATGAGACACAAGTGTTTAACTCACTGGGTAAAAGTCATGTTCTGCAGAGAAAATGGAGTGAGTCCATTAATTGAGGTTAGCTAAGTAATTTCAACTTAGTATTGAAGGTATTGTTTAGTATCCAAAGTATTGCTTCTCCTCCTTCTTCTTCCTAAATATATTGATTACTTCTTCCAAGATTTGATAATGTTTAGCTTCCTTGATATTACAGGACTTCATGAATTCCTAAATGACCATCATCTTTACTATGTTTCCTCTAATAGCTCACTAAATGTATTCAGCCAACCTGAGACACTCCAACGCTTTTATCTGAACATCAAACATGATATTCTTCCTTGGTATTTTGGCAGCATCTCTAGCACCCTAATTCATATGCCTTTTGTCAGCCATTACAGTTCAAAACCATTTATTAAAAACCTTACAAAAATATTTAACTTCAAAATTGGAACTACATACAGAGTTTGGCAAAAAGAGTGGAAAACTCTTCATGCACCCTTTTGAGCTGCAGGAAAAATTTCAAATATTTCTGGAAGAAATCTTCAGTTTGTGAGATCATAGGCATGACTGAGACATGCCCTGCAAATAAGCCTATCTTGACAAATATATCTGCTTATGTGAACCACCTAAATTTATCCTGACAAGTTTAAGTATTCTATATACAAAACAAAGTGAACAAGATAAATGTGAAACTAGAACTGTGAGATATGTAGTTGAGCTGGATACTTTTTTCCTCTCTGAAAGAACCAGTTAAAGATTCCTCTGAAAAACTCACTGGAAATATTTTGAAAATTATAAAAGATGCTTGAAATTTCTGACAAGTTTTGCAAGAATTTTCCCAAACTGGATGGCAGCAAAGAGCAAACAAACAAACAAACAAAATCCCTTTTCCATTTCACAGACGTCCAATAAATAACTTGACACATCCAGAAGACTAGATTCTATAGATCAGCAGACCCCAACCTTTTTGGCACCAGGGACAGGTTTAGTGGAAAACAATTTTTCCACAGAGAGAAGTTTGCGCATATGGTTTCAGTATGAAACTGTTCCACCTCAGATCATCAGGCATTAGATTATCTTAGGCAGTGTGCAGCCTAGATCCCTCACATGTGCAGTTCACAACAGGGTTCGCACTCCTATGAGAATCTAATGCTGCCAACAATCCGACAGGAAGTGGAGCTCAGGCAGTAATGTTCTCTCACTCTGGTAGCTCACCTCCTGCTGTGCAGCCCTGGCCCAGGGTTGCGGACCCCTGCTATAAATTACTTTAGACGGATCTTTTTGGAACAAAAAGCTTAATTCTTATTAGTGCTTTAATACACAATAAAGTTGGACAGAGGTGACCATTAACTGCATTATGCTCTCTCCAAGTATGCTGACTTGAGAGATGGGGGTTCTTGGTGCTTATTACCATCAAAATTTAAAAACTGAATTGTCTTAATGACCTTTAAATCTCATCTTAGGTAGAAACCAAACACTATTCAAGCAAAGGTCCTTTTATTGCTAACTGACCAAAAATAGTCTTCTCACTGAGGAACTTATTTCCATGTGGGCATTTTCCTATATCAAATGATGCATTGCCAGATACCACTTTTAATTTTTTTAAATTTAATAATCTTTTTTTTCTACTATTGTCTTTTATATGTAGCAAACAATACTGGCTTTCTATTTATAATAATGAAATGAAGTTTCCTTTGGAAATGGTTTTTATGTTTAAAAAGTAATACTACTGGCCAGGCAGCGGTGGCTCACACCTGTAATCCCAGCACTTTGAGAAAGCAAGGTAGAAGGACCACTTGACCCCAGGAGCTCAAGACCAGCCTGGGCAACATGGTGAAACCCCATCACTACAAGAAATACAAAAATTAGCCAGTGTGGTGGTATGCACTTGTGGTCCCAGCTACTTGGGAGGCTGAGGTGAAAGGATCACTAGAGCCTGGGAGGTCAAGGCTGCAGCGAGCCATGACCACACCACTGCACTGCAGCCTGAGTGACAGAGTGTGACCTTGTTTCCAAATGAATGAATGAATGAATTAACTAATTAAAATTAAAGAAAAATGATTAGTAACTTACAGTTTAGGGGTTATAAACCTATGGCAAATCACTAAAGTAGTATCCAAATTTAAGTATGGGAAACAGTTGACAGGATAAATGCAGGTTCCTTAACATGCATGCAACTCAAGACCACTCTAATTGGACTTCCAGCCTCTTTTCTCACCACTTTCCCTTATCACAAAACTTCATATCCTAGCAATGTTCCACATATAACATGGCCTAAAATGTCCATTTTAGTTATCTGTATCTCTACCACCACACCCCTAAAATACCCAACTCAACTCATTAGACTTTAAAGAGTCTCTAACTTACAATATTACCTTCCTTCAAGAAACCTTCCCAAACTTTTCTCCTCAGATAGTATTATGTGTTATTAGATACTTGGTCTTATTCATCTACCAGCCTTTCTCTGGTTCCCAGCACAGGTATGCAAGAAATATTTTGTGAAAGAATGACTCTGTTAAGTTTTACTCTTATTTAACTACTGAGCAATGTTAATTACATTCTACTTTCAACTTTCATCCCTTCAAGTTTCCTTTATAATGTATTCTCCTGCCTCTTCTATTACACCCCCGGAGCTGTTCCTCCACAGCCTCTGAAAGCACTTCTGTCTTCCCCAAACATGTGACCCAAGATACTATATTAACTGTCTTTCTGATGCAATCTCATCCTTGCTGATCTACAATATTCAAATTTCTTCAACTACCATCACAAATATAATAGCACTAGTTAAATGTACGTTTAGTTGTCCACTAGATATTTGTACCCAGACATTCCATAAATATCTGTGGTGGGAAGCCTCCAAAATGACCACCAATAAATAGGCTGGGCACATTGGCTCATGCCTCCCATACCTTGGGAGGCCAAGGAGGGTGGACTGGTTGAGCCTAGGAATTTGAGGCCAGCCTAGGCAACATGGCAAAACCCCATCTCTGAAAAAATAAAAACACAATTAGCTGGGCATGGTGGCATACCTGTCATCCCAGCTACTTGGGAGGCTGGAATGAGAGGATCGCTTGAGGCTGAGAGGCTGAGAGACTGAGGCTGCAGTGAGCCGAGATCATGCCACTGCATCCCCAGCCTGGGCAACACAGCGAGACCCTATCTCAAAAAAACAAAATGACCCCCATTGACTCTTGGGTCTTGGTATTCATGCCCTTGTATAGTTTCTTCCCACAGTGAATAGTGCTGACCCGTGTAACCGATAGATTATAGAAATGATGGAGTGTGACTTTGGAGGTCAGCTCACAAAAGTTATTACAGCTTCTACCTCCCTCTCTGGTTATAATCACTCACTCGGATCAAAGCCAGCTGTCTCAAATATCCCCATAGAGAAATCCACCTACCAACAGAAAAGCCAAGGCTTCCTACCAACAACCAGCACTCACTTGCCCAGCATGAGTAAGCCACCTTGGAAGTGGACCAACCAGCTGCAGTTGAACCTTCAGATGACTGAGGCCTTGCTTCTAATAGCAGACACCTTGACTGCGACCTCATGAGAAACCTTGAATCAGAACCAACCAGCAAAGTTGCTCCCTGATTTCTGATCTTACTAAACTATGATAAGTGTTTGGCAGCACTGTCCAAAAGAGATTTTTGCAATAATTTAAAACATTCTATGACCAACCAACAGTACCAAAGCCACCGGCTTCATGTGGCTACTGAACATGTGAAATGTGACTAATGTGACTGAGAAACTGAATTTTCAATTTTATGCAATTTTAACAAATTTAAGTGTCAATTGCCACATTTGTCTTGTGGCTACCATACTGGATAGTGCAAGTTTATTGCTTGGTGATAATCTATCATAAAACATATAACTAATACAGTAATTTAAATCTATCCCTTACTATGTCTGTTCTCTTCTCTATCTTCCATCTAATCAGTCCACCAAACAAAAATAACCAAACCAAACCAAACCCTGCCTCCTACCTTTTACATTCCCCATCTTGCTAAGTATTACCAACATCCACCCAAGGACACAAGCCAGAAAGGCCCATACTTTGACCACCCACCTTTCATCCTACTGGTATTCTTAGTATCTTAATAACTTTGTCTCTTCTAAGTATATTGTTACCACTTCAGTTAGACTTTATTAATATCATTTTTCATATGGATTGCTACAAAATGTCTCACTATTGGTTCCTCTGCCCCTGAAACTGTTTCTTAAGACTAATTCTTTATTCACACTACGACTGAAAGAATCATTTATAACAACGCTTACCGCCTCTCTGACTAAAAGCCTTCAGTGGCTCCCTACAATCCAGAGGTTAAAATCCAAACTCCTTAGAATGACTTAAATGGCCTTCAACCTACCAACTGCTGTGCCCATCATCAACCTCTATGCTCTAACCACACTGAACTATACGCAGTTCCTGAAATTGTGAGCTATTTCACCTCTATGTCCTTATTAATGTTCCTTATTATGACTGGGCATGGTGGCTCATGCCTATAATCCCAGCATTTTAGGAGGCCGAGGTGGACCGATCACTTGAGGTCAGCAGTTCAAGGCCAGTCTGACCAACATAACAAAACCCTGTCTCTACTAAAAATACAAAAATTAGCTGGGTGTGGTGGCACGTGCCCAAAATTGCAGTACTTTAGGAGGCGGACGCACAAGAATTGCTTAAACCCAGGAGGTGGAGGTTGCAGTGAGCCGAGATCGTGTCACTACAATCCAGCCTGGGTGAGGAAGTGACTCTGTTTCAAAAAAAAACCAATAGCTTCTTTTACCTGAATTGTTCTTCTATCCTTTACCTGTCCAGGAACCACATCTCACATTCCAGGATTCAGCAAATATATTCATCTCCTCTGTGAAATGTTTGTGATCTGTCCAAAAAGTAATGATTTTTCTCCTTTGAGTCTCCACTGTACCCTGTGCACTTAGTTCTCCGTCTCCCCTAGAAGGCAGCAACAGTACCTGATTCAACTCTGACCATATCTGGCAGTAAAGGATAGCGTTTAGGAGTGCAGGCTGGGCCAGGCGCCGTGGCTCAAGCCTGTAATCCCAGCACTTTGGGAGGCCGAGGCAGGTGGATCACGAGGTCAAGAGATCGAGACCATCCTGGTCAACATGGTGAAACCCCGTCTCTACTAAAAATACAAAACATTAGCTGGGCATGGTGGCGCGTGCCTGTAATCCCAGCTACTCAGGAGGCTGAGGCAGGAGAATTGCCTGGACCCAGGAGGCGGAGGTTGCGGTGAGCCGAGATCGCGCCATTGCACTCCAGCCTGGGTAACATGAGTGAAACTCTGTCTCAAAAAAAAAAAGAGTGCAGGCTGGGGCCAGGCGTGGTGGCTCACGTCTGTAATTCCAGCACTTTGGGAGATTGAAGCAAGTGAGCCACAAGGTCAGGAGTTTGAGACCAGCCATAGCCAACATGGTGAAACCCCATCTCTGCCAAAAATACAAAAATTAGCCGGGTGTGGTGGCACATGCCTTTAGTCCCAGCTACTCAGGAGGCTGAGGCAGATGAATCGCTTGAACCCAGGAGGCAGAGGTTGTAGTGAGCTGAGATCACACCACTGTACTCCAGCCTGGGCAACAGAAAAAGACTGTGTCTCAAAAAAAAAAAAAAAAAAAAGTACAGGTTGGGAAATCAGACAGAGTCATATTAAAATCCAAGTTTTACCACTCACAAGGCA